ATTGAGAGATTAAAATCGTTGTCAAATAAGAAAGGTTAAAATAACATGATACTAAATCTTTATTAAATCATAAGTTAAAAATATAATCAAACTAAATTAATTAAAAAAAAATTAAAATAATAAAAAATTAAAATTAAAAATTATATTTAAGTTCGTAAAATCATGATCTCCTTTTATACAAATATCCTCGAATATATATATACTTTTCTATAATTCATTTACATAATGTTTTACAAACAAACTGAAACAAATCTTGAACTTTCTTTAATTTGAATAATCATTCTTTTTTATTCCTCTTTCTTTAAATCATTTGCATTCGAAATTTAATTCTTTTTTCTTGAGTAGATTTGAATATCCTTCGGCTTTGTAATTTGGCTTAACAATTACAACACCCTTCCACTTAGATTAGTCCCACCATTCTGCGAGTAAGGCATGGTTCCCGATACATTCTTCTAGCTCCTTTAATTATATCTCGTTTTACTCCCACATTATCCTAGTCTTTGCTTGTTTCTAACTGTTTCTAGTAACATGACGGTAAACCACTGACGATAATTTGTCTGCGAGTAACGATGGTTTCCACGACTTCTTGTTCGATTTTTTATCTTATACTAAATTTTTGATAAGCAATTGGCTATAATTTGTCAACGATTAACGATAGCATCCTGGTCTTCTTGTCAATATATCCACCTTGCCTTAAGATCTCTTATACGATAATGATTTCCTGTATCTTTTGATCCATAAAAATCCGATCTCTAATTGAGCTCGATTGCGGCATAAATTTTCTAATGACGAAAAGCCGTTTCTCTTTATGAAGATTTTTAGGTTAATCAACAACCTGATATTTTGCTAAATATTATCAACTTAAATAACAGTCAACCATATATCTTTAATAAAAATTTATAACGAATTTCTTTTAGCTACATCGATCACTTGTACGTATAACGATCTCTTATGACGCATTCTTTTTATCTAAACGACTAATTCTCCGAAATACGACCATTAATATTGATACCATTGTTTTATAGCTCTCATTCTTTGTCTTAGTGTCGATAGTCATCTCATACATCCCCTTCCCCCTTTATTTAGAATCTCTTTTCAGAGTTAATTAGACTGACTTTTGATCTTCTAAAGCCTGGATCAATCGCTGTAAGGCACCTCTGTACCAATATGGTATTGATATTTATATTGCTGAGGCTAGTGGGAGAGTTAATTAGACTGAATTGTTGAAATTGCCCTGTCGCCTCCACTCTCCAACATCATTGTAACATTTTGAATAATTAGAATAAGAATTGGAAGATTATAATCGTTGTCAAATAAGAAAGGTTAAAATAACATGATACTAAATCAGACTAATATCCTCGTTAGAACTAAACTGATACTAAATCTTTATTAAATAATAAGTTAAAAATATAATTAACTAAATTAAAAAAAATTAAAATAATATAAAAAAATTAAAAGTAAATTTTAGTTAAAATAATAATCCCCTTTTTCGCATCATAATTTCTCCATTATATATCCTTTTTCTTTAATCAACATTTACATAGTCGCGAAGAATAAAAAGTTCTACATCCCACTTGTTAAAACTGTTAAAGTATGAAAAAATCTACAAATCTCACGCGTTTTTTTCTCATTTACATAGACGGGGATATTTTAATAAAACATTATTTTTGTTTACGATTTGCATAATGCATTTTTTTGTAAAGTAAAACTGCAACAACTTATATCGAAAAAAGTCAATTTATTTTGGCTAAAATATTAGTTAGCCTTTTTTATTTTAAAATCGGCTCAAATCAAGCCCATTAACAACACTAATAATATGGTATTTTATAAAATATTTCCCCATATTTTTTAAAAAATAAATAATTTCTGAGGATCGAAAAATTGGAAATAGGAAAAATAATATAAGTGAATGAATATAATACATTGTTTTATGATACGAAATTTATATATATTTTTTATTTATTTTTAACTTTTATAGATAATAATGGTGTTTTAAAATATTTGGCCCCGGTCGAGTATCGAAATTTTTTTTGTTAGGGCCGACCCTGCCCTGATATATTTAAAAAATAATTATATGGCCCGGCCTGTACTAACCAGGGATGCAAACCTGGCAATCAAATTTGTAATAAAAAAATATGTCAATATATTTGAGTAAAATTTATTTTAGAAAATTCATTTCAATTATTCGAATAAGTCGAATCGAATACAAATAGTAGATTTTATTATTTTTACGAATTCAAATAGCTTTCATATTCGATTCGAATTCGTTTTTGAAAAGGACTAATCTTTATGAATATTTATCAATATCTTCTAGATTATAATGGCATCGCCAGGGAGACAGCCAGCGGTGCCACTTCCAATTCTAAGATCTATCTTTTCTAAATACAAATTTGAGATTCAACAAAATCTTAACCACTCGTCAGCAACAATCTGGAAGATAATAAGCAAGGAGTTATTAGTAGTGTTGTTAAACGGCTCGTTTTGAGCCGATTTTTTAAAACGGCTAACTCAATATTTTAGGCAGAAAAATATTGCCTAAGCCTTGAGATTTCGATAATATATGTCTAAACCTTTGTTCCTTCTGTGAGCAAAATCTTCAGGCCTGAATTAGCCGTTTTTAAAAATAGGCTCAAAACGAGCCGTTTAACAACACTAGTTATTAGCTATGATGAGCCCAAAACTACTCTATAATTATGCCTCACAAAATCGAAATAATTGTCTAGATATTTTGGAAATACAGAAAGAAGTAAATATATCATTATTTATATATATCTTCTGGTGAAAGTTAAATAAGGTTAATTTTGTGATTTCACTTATTTTAATTTATGTAATGATTTTAACTGCCCCCACTGCATTTAATGAAGATGCCCTAGAAATCTATCATTTTAGCTTATAAATCATAATATATTTAATTATTTCTTGTCTTAATTATATAAATTTTAAAAAAGTTGTTTTTAAAAAAAATATATTTTCTTGCTACGTAAAGAATAACACCCTCCCCACCCCTGGTAATGTAAATCTTGGTAACAAATATAGTAAATCGATATTTGCAATAATCTAACCGAGACCAATAAGTTTGCTATTTTTAAAAAAAATAATCATGTGGGGACATGGTCGGGACTAATAAATTTTGGCCGCATGGATATTTTAATAAAGATGAGGAATAAATACTTTTTTATTTTATTTTATAAATATATTAAAATATTTCATATTTGTAAGGTAAATATTATTGATCCGAATATGCCTGATAGTCCCTAGTTAATAATATAATTAATATCTTCTTAAAATATAATAAAATATGATATATAGAGATCAGGGAGAGTCGGCGCAAGCGGCTTGTCAGTTCAGCGATTTTTATTTAAAAACCAGACATGTTTAGACATTCAAATTTAGTGATATAATTTACATTGGTAAGCGGAAAATAGATCCCCGGAAAAAAAAATTCCCGAAAATAATTGCCCAGGAACAAAATCCCCAGAAAAAAATATCCCCTGGAAAATAATTCCCCGAAAAAAAATCTATGGAAAAAATTCCCATAGAAAATTATTCCCCGGAAATTAATTCCCTATTTTTTAGATTTTAAATTAAATATAGAGGAAAATCAATTTCCGGAAAATTATACCGGGAAAAAGATCCTCGAATAATTTTTTTTTAAATTATCAAAAATAACCCTGCTGCTTAATAACGAAAATATTTCTAAAAAATTATAATCAGTATTTTCTGAAAGATAAATATTTATTCTCGACACATTTGAGGATTTTTTAGCATTATTTATGTTTTAATTCGAAGCGATATAGGGCTGTCTTAAAATATGAGACATCTCGGAAAGAAAACATGATAGCTTTTTATAGAAATAGATGTAAATTATGCGTGCAATATAAAATTTAAAAAATAGGTGAAAACAAATTTTTCCCTAGAAATAGGGAGATTATTTCCATAATCTAGTTTTAATATATATTTCAATTAATCTATTTTTGAAGACAATGATTTAAATTTTTAATATATTTATAAAAACTTCATGGAAAATGATTAATAATTTGTGTAAAAATAAATATTTTTTTATAATAATATTTTATTAAATTAAAATTATATTTTCAATAATAATATCTAAAAGTAGATGATAAAATTTAATTTCGTTGATTTTCTCGAAAATTTAACATATTTTATTTAGGGATTTTTTTTCCTACTTTGTTAATTTTCTAAAAATAATTTAATATTTTATAAGGAACAAAAAATAAGGGAATTTTTTCCGGGGAATAATTTTTTAAGAATTATTTTCCTGTGATTTTTTTGGGGGGAATACGCAACCGCTGGTTGCGCTATAATTATCGAATATATATTACTAACAGTAATTAACTAACAAAAATAAATTTATATAATATACAACTATAATAACGAAAAAGAAATTTAGAAACAAAAAAAAATATATTTTGACAATAGGTACGTCGTTTACTTTTGTAATCATAGAAATATTTGTATTTGTGCCCAAATCTGGTGCTTAAAAAATTTAAGGCGGGGGTTCGTCCCGATGTATTAGTGTAATTACTATATATATTTACATTATTTATATTTTATGTAATATATCACGACTTTATTATAATACAGGAACACAAAAACATTGATATATGAAATATTTACTATTTTAATATGATTTTAAAAAATATTTTTACATTATCCTTAGGAAAAATTCCCCGAGATTATGTCGTCAGACTCAAGTGACGACGGCGAAGATAATGTCAAAGTAAAAAAGGATATATTTGAATTTCTTTGACAGAGGAAGAATGGAATCAAATATATCCGAATGCGGATAACCCAAATCGGTTAAAAATGGGTTGGACCCATGTGCTTGAAAAAATAATTTCTAGTCATTTGGAAATACCCTGTTTATGGGTATTTTCTAATAATTATGTATCTCTAAATTCTATTTATTCAATAAAAATTAACGCTTTTTGTAAACAATGTTCAGCTGTATTATTAATTAAAAAATTAAATACTTTAAATAATATATATATAAAATTTATATGTGAAATATATAATTATAAAACAGAATTGCATAATAGTATTTATAAAAAACCATTAAGTGGGATAAAAAGGGAAGTAGTTGCTAATGAATTACAAAAAGATTTAGCCATAAACTGGCGTTTGAAAAAAGCAAATGAAACCATGGAATATGGTGAATTGGAACCTAGAACTTTATATTCCTTGGATGTCCTACGTAAATGCAAACAATCCATTTCTAATAAATATAACATTAAATCGGATAGCGTAATCAATCAGTTATTACATCCATACTTCAAATAGATGCCACAGGGAATCGAATTGAATAACTGAGAACCAAGTATTATATAGTTAAAATAATTTATAATCTTTATATATAGCTTTCTCAGGGATATTACACAATATCTGTACATCGAATTGAATAACTGAGAACCAAGTATTATATAGTTAAAATAATTTATAATCTTTATATATAGCTTTTCAGGGATATTAGATAACGTTATGATCTTTTCCCTGATCTCGGGCCTTCCCGTACCTACAACAACAACCTGATGATTGGATGAAATCTCAATCAATTCCACATATCTCCTATGAAATATCCAAGGGTACTCAAGCCGAAAAATTTAAACAACATTAATTAGAACACAACGCCCCCACGCTTATAATAAATATATATCGTGATTATAACAAATTATACTGTTGTTGCGTTTTCTGATTAATATATTACTATTCGTACATAATATTATTCACCATTCCTTCCCTATTATATTACATAAAAAATCTTCGACTTAGATTAAAATATAACGACAAGTACAAAAGCCATAAAGGCCGATATACTTGGCTAAATTAAATAATACATAATTTTTCTAGATAGCTACTTGTAATTCAAGTTTATTGATACATTCTTCTAATATTTTTTAAAATAGTTAAGATCTATCAATAAAAAAGGAATATACTTTTATAAGAGTAATATAATAGGCTTTCGAGCTTTATCATTGGCCTTTTAAACGATAAAATTTAATAGGACAGTGCATATATAATTTCAGTGGAATAAATTTGACCTTGAAACATTTAGTAAGCTCATAAAAAAATTTACAATGATTAAATAATGGCAAAATTAATAGAATGTCTGTCGCTGCACTAGATTTTGTTTTAGTGTAATTTGTTTTTATTAATTTTGTTATTAACTTTTACATTTTAATTTTGGCTATTAAAATTCTTAAGCACTTGTTATCAACGGAGAACTAAAAAGTGATTAAGTTTCATATCCATAATTTGTCAGGTCGAAATTTGACCTTGAAATATTTATTGTTGATAAACTCACTTTCCTTTAATTTTTTTGACATTCCGTTTGAAGAATACGGAGGATCAATTAATATACTAATAATTGGCTATAACTAAAAAAATGATTGCTCAAATTTTTAATTTTCGCAAGGTGCCAAAACCTTTCTATTTTGCTTATAACTCACGAACGGTTCATTCTGTTGATATGCGGTTTAAAGATTCTGGAGGATCAATTAACGCACCACACTTTGGCATATATTTTGGTAATTGATCCTCACTTTTTAAAAAAATTCTTACAACTTCACGCAACAAAAACAGGTCATAACTCAGTTGCGGTTAGTGATCGATATCCGGTTTGGATATTATTAACGCACAAATTAAAGCCTAATGAATTGCCAAGTTTCAGATCGTGATCTTTTATATTTTCGGTTTTGGCAAAGTGCCAACACTTTCTTATTTTGCTCATAACTCAGTAACGGTTCATTCCGCTGCTTTCCGGATAGAAGATCAATTAGGATCAATTAACGGGCTATACAATGATATAAGTTTCGGTAATTGATCCCCAAATCGTTCTTACAGCTTAAATATTTCCGCCAACTTAACGTTTTTAAAACGGTTATAACTCGGTATTGGTTAGTAATATCGATATCCGGTTTGGTGATTGTTAATGTACGTATTGAATACTACATAATTGCCAAGTTTCGAAACATGATCCTTTTTATTTTCGGTTTTGGCAAAGTGCCAATACTTTTTTGTTTTGCTTATAACTAACTAACGGTTCATTCTGTTGATATGCGGTTTAAAGATTCTGGAGGATCAATTAACGCACCACACTTTGGCATATATTTTGGTAATTGATCCTCACTTTTTAAAAAAATTCTTACAACTTCACGCTATAAAAACCGGTCATAACTCAGTTGCGGTTAGTGATATCGATATCCGGTTTGGATATTATTAACGCACAAATTAAAGCCTAAATAATTGTCAAGTTTCAGATCGTGATCTTTTTTATTTTCGGTTTTGGCAAAGTGCCAATATTTTTTGTTTTGCTTATAACTCACGAACGGTTCATTCTGTTGATATGCGGTTTAAAGATTCTGGAGGATCAATTAACGCACCACACTTTGGCATATATTTTGGTAATTGATCCTCACATTTTAAAAAAATTCTTACAACTTCACGCTTATAAAAACAGGTCATAACTCAGTTGCGGTTAGTGATATCGATATCCGGTTTGGATATTATTAACGCACAAATTAAAGCCTAAATAATTGCTAAGTTTCAGATAGTGATTTTTTTTATTTTCGGTTTTGGCAAAGTGCCAATACTTTTTTGTTTTGCTTATAACTCACGAACGGTTCATTCTGTTGATATGCGGTTTAAAGATTCTGGAGGATCAATTAACGCACCACACTTTGGCATATATTTTGGTAATTAATCCTCACTTTTTAAAAAAATTCTTACAACTTCACGCTATAAAAACAAGTCATAACTCAGTTGCGGTTAGTGATATCGATATCCGGTTTGGATATTATTAACGCACAAATTAAAGCTAAAATAATTGCCAAGATTCAGATCGTGATCTTTTATATTTTCGGTTTTGGCAAAGTGCCAACACTTTCTTATTTTGCTCATAACTCAGTAACGGTTCATTCCGCTGCTTTCCGGATAGAAGATCAATTAGGATCAATTAACGGGCTATACAATGATATAAGTTTCGGTAATTGATCCCCAAATCGTTCTTACAGCTTAAATATTTCCGCCAACTTAACGTTTTTAAAACGGTTATAACTCGGTATTGGTTAGTAATATCGATATCCGGTTTGGTGATTGTTAATGTACGTATTGAATACTACATAATTGCCAAGTTTCGAAACATGATCCTTTTTATTTTCGGTTTTGGCAAAGATACTTTTTTGTTTTGCTTATAACTCACGAACGGTTCATTCTGTTGATATGCGGTTTAAAGATTCTGGAGGATCAATTAACGCACCACACTTTGGCATATATTTTGGTAATTGATCCTCACTTTTTAAAAAAATTCTTACAACTTCACGCTATAAAAACCGGTCATAACTCAGTTGCGGTTAGTGATATCGATATCCGGTTTGGATATTATTAACGCACAAATTAAAGCCTAAATAATTGTCAAGTTTCAGATCGTGATCTTTTTTATTTTCGGTTTTGGCAAAGTGCCAATATTTTTTGTTTTGCTTATAACTCACGAACGGTTCATTCTGTTGATATGCGGTTTAAAGATTCTGGAGGATCAATTAACGCACCACACTTTGGCATATATTTTGGTAATTGATCCTCACATTTTAAAAAAATTCTTACAACTTCACGCTTATAAAAACAGGTCATAACTCAGTTGCGGTTAGTGATATCGATATCCGGTTTGGATATTATTAACGCACAAATTAAAGCCTAAATAATTGCTAAGTTTCAGATAGTGATTTTTTTTATTTTCGGTTTTGGCAAAGTGCCAACACTTTCTTATTTTGCTCATAACTCAGTAACGGTTCATTCCGCTGCTTTCCGGATAGAAGATCAATTAGGATCAATTAACGGGCTATACAATGATATAAGTTTCGGTAATTGATCCCCAAATCGTTCTTACAGCTTAAATATTTCCGCCAACTTAACGTTTTTAAAACGGTTATAACTCGGTATTGGTTAGTAATATCGATATCCGGTTTGGATATTATTAACGCACAAATTAAAGCCTAAATAATTGCCAAGTTTCAGATCGAGATCTTTTATTATTTCGGCTTTGGCAAAGTGCCAACACTTTCTTATTTTGCTCATAACTCAGTAACGGTTCATTCCGCTGCTTTCCGGATAGAAGATCAATTAGGATCAATTAACGGGCTATACAATGATATAAGTTTCGGTAATTGATCTTCAAATTATTCTTACAGCTGCAAATCTTCGCACTTTCATTATTTTGCTTATAACTCAATAACCTTTAATTCTGCTGATATCTGGTTTGAAGATCAATTAAGACTCTAAATAATGGCATAGGTTTTGTTAATTGATCCTTACATCGTTCTTACAACTTCACGGACCTCTTGCAACGCATTATTAAAATATTATTCTAAAATTATAATTTAACAGTTAGGTTTTATACCATTATTGTCTCTATATTATATTATCATTTAAATTCATGTCATGAAAATTTTTGATTTAGATTTATCGCTTCAAAAACATTGGGGGCCATTATCATCAAAATCTCACAACCCATCCGTATGAAAGTGATTGCGTGAGATTTCGAAATCTCACAGATCACTTTCACACGTTACACCGGTTTATATATATAATTTTTTTGTAATTCACATTAGTTTAAAATTGTGTATTAGAAAAGTTATTAGTCCTAATAAATTTATGCTTAGTATTTTTAATTAACAAAAATATTTCTTAAAAATTTTATTATCCCCCCCCCCCCCCAGACCAAATTCCTGCGTACGCGCCTGTCTTTATCCCATATTTTCCTAAATGCATCTCTTAATTCAATATTGTAAAATATGTATTATATATTTAAGATATTCTTATGCTATTACATTTATTAATGTAAATTTTATAATAAAAATATATAAACTTATCTGATGAATAACATATTAATAAAAGTAAGCTATTCAGGAATTAAGTCTTGTTTTCTTTTAGATAACTTATCCATCTAAATATTAAATTTGCTTATTCTGCTTGTATAGACTATTTGAAAATAATTTGGCCCTGTATGTACTTCATATGCTATTTCTGTAATTAGCTCTAAAGTAACATTGGTCCCATTTATAGGGATATAGTACTTTTTTGCGCAAATCATGTTGTAATATAAAAAATCAGCTGTATAACAAAAATAGTTTGTTTGAAAGTAAAAATTTTCCAAAAACGTACCTTGGACCACGATTGAAAAACGTTTTGTTTGGAAATAGCCTTAATATTTACGTGCTATTCTGATCTCCAGTGTAAGGAATACAATGTCTATTATTTATCAGTGGTTGATAATAAATGTTATAAAAGTGTGTGCCGCATAGTTGGTTATTGTAAATTGCATCGAAAATTTAAAAAAATACATATAAGAATAATTTATGAATTTCCTTCTAAAAATTAAAATAATATGCTTAGGAAAAAATGTAGGAACCTTTATATACCTCACAAAACAAAGGATCCCCCCTCTCTTAAATAATATATAATGTATAGTGGATACTATATATGTATGTCGATAAGGAACAAATGTACTCCCATGAGATTTTCAGTGGCATAGCTGATTTATACTCGCCCTACCAAATTACCATCAAGCCTATTATATGGGCCGCCTAAAAAAATTGTAAGCCTATGAAAAAAAGAGGTACATTTGGGTAATTCCATGACAAATTGACCAGCGATTCGGCCGACCATCTCATATATGAATGAAACTTGGCAAGTTAATTATTTATGTTGTAAATGTTAATAAAATTAAAATTTTAGAGTGCTAGCTCAACCAGATCCAAAGATATACGCCTTCAAAGTCGAAAATTGCGAAGTGCGTGATTTCATTAAATCTTGTTATTTTAAAAAATACTTAAGATAGAGTTAAAAATTATATATCATTTTATAGCCCTTAAAATTTTACGTTGGAAAATATTAAAAATTTTTAAGTGTTGTCTTATTTCCGGTAAAATAAAAAAATTAACATTGTTAGGAAGGGATTTTTTTGGGTGTTTATATTCACTAAAAATGTTTATTACCTTTATATTAAACGATTTAATAAAAAATCTCGATGGCCATTTTTGTTTTTTAAATTTTATTTGATTTTTTATTATTTTTATAAATAAATAAATGTAATATAGATGACGTTATATTAATATTTTTTATAATATATAATTTTTAATAAAAATATGAAAAGTATTGATCAAAATTAAAAAATCAATGATGTCGGGTGATATATAAGCAGGAAGCCCATACAGATATGATTTTATTAGGACGCTATATTGTAAAATAAACAAATTTTAAAATTTTATACACAAACAATATAAAAATAAATACCTCTTGTTTTAATCTTATCCCATTTTGTGCTTATTAATAGAATTTCTTGAGACGATTTTGTAGGTATGTCCTGTCACTGTAATAGTCATCTACTATTGTTATTATTTGATTAATGTGTAACCATATCTTTTCCTCAATTGTGGGGTAAAAGAAGGATGGTGATGGTCCATGGGAATGTAAAAAGGAAATATATATCTCCTCAGTAATTTCATTCTTCTTTTTTAGTACTGTGGCTAACCACCAAAAATCGTCATAAACACATGTTACGAATCCTTTAATATCGGCAAAAGACAATTAATCGGCATTTGAGATATTCTCAATTTGAAAGTCCTCTGCATATGAATATTTTTTTGATTTAAGCTTACTCAAACTAAAAGGAAATACAGCATGTATTTCCCGAGTTCCTGGAATGGGACGAGCTAAATTGAATCTTTCTCATAGTTTAATCTCATGTAAATTATATTGTTCATAGGTTATATTATATGTAAAATTTACTGATGGCATGTTTTGTTTGCAAACTGATATAAATCAACTGGCGTTAAAATGTGTCCAGAACTGATGCGCTGAAGACTTGAACGTGCTGCTAATCTTTATAATGTTCACCAAGGCCTTCAGGTGGACCTTTTCCATGGAATGTAGCTGAAAAATGCCATCCAGCTGTTACCCCAAAATCTGAATCATGATAACACAGATTTATAAAAAAATTCTGTTTTTATATTGCACAGCTGATCCGTCAGATAAGTAATATATTTTGTTTTGCTTTTTGCTGAATTGATTGGTCAAAAATTTTATCATTTTAGTCTGGTATAAATGTACTCCAATAAGAATAACATCAAGTTGAATTGATTCTGGTATTAACATATAATTAAGGTTTCTATATTGCCATTATTATAATATGCTAACATAGAGTAAATAGTGGCTTGATTATTATTCATCTTTGAACAGCGTCTTGGATTATAAATGCATAATTTTCAGAGAAATCACAAATTTTCAAATTCATTTGCTTATAAAAAATGTTTAAGTTTTGAAATATATGATGATTGATTGATAGCGATGATAGGAATAACAAAATAAAATAAGCTGATAAAATCGTTATTTTCAAATAATAACAATATTAGATCCACAACAATGAAAGGATATATCTACAAATTATGGCCTTAGGAATTTCTATTAATAAGCGCAAAATTATAATAGTTTGAATATAAAATTTTAAAATATGTTTATCTTACAATATAGCGTCAATAAAATAATATCTGTATGAGCTGCCTGCTTATATATCGCCCCAGGACATTATTCTGGGTTATTATATTGATTTTTTAATTTCAATCACAATATTATTCATATTTTTTAAAAATTATATATTATAAAAAAAATTTTAATATAACGCCATCTATATTACATTTTTTTATTTAGATAAATAATAAAAATTCAAATAAAATATATAAAAAAAAGGCTATCGAGATTTTTTATTAAATCGTTTAATATAAAGGTAATAAAATTTTTTAGTGAATATTAACTCCCAAAAAAAATCCCTTTCTAACAATGTTAATTTTTTATTTTCACCGAAAATAAGAATACACTTGAAATTTTTTATTTTTTTTAATATTTTCCAACGTAAAATTTTAAGGGCTAAAAAATGATAAAAAATTTGTAACTCTATCTTAACTATTTTTTAAAATAACAAGATTTAATGAAATCACGCACTTCGCGATTTTCGACTTTGAAGGTATATCTTTGGATCTGGTTGAGCTGGCATTCTAAAATTTTAATTTTATTAACATTTACAACATAAATAACTAACATGCCAAGTTTCATTCATTTTTGACATGGTTGGCCGAAAATCTCATTTTTTTGGTCGACACCCATTTATGATCTTTCCTTAATAAAAAAATATATTACAAAGGCAGTGTTAAAAAGATCTCGGGTGGGCAACTTGCGTAAGATAAAGACAATCTCTTTGCTTGTTCTTAATTTTTTTTAAAAAAAACTCCTTTGTCTAATATGATCATAATTTTAAATTTATTTTTTTAAGAAACTATTTAAGGTATTTATGATAATATAAAATTGAGTACAATTTTTTTTCGTAGAAATATAATTTTATATGGTATTTATATTAATATAATTTTTAAAAAAAATTCAAAAACTCAACAGTGTATGATATAGTAATTATAATTATATATAAATAAAAGTGTCAAACAAGAATCCTGGATAATCGACCCCTTTTTATGAAGATTTTTATTTAATAATATAATTAATTAAGTGTTTATAAGACAAATATTATGAAATAATATTTTAAAAAAATATGGCAAGTTTTTATATCAATTATTTTCTAAAAATTTATACTTTTATTAACTAAAATTCTAGATGTATGTTGAAAGAATTTATATTGTACAAATTTGTTTCAAAAAAGAATATTTTAAACAAATTTATAATGTACAATATACAATTAAAATATAAAAAAAAAAAACATATTGATAAAAAAAATGCATATTAAATGCCAATAAGAATTATATGAATGTTTTTTTAGCAATTATTAAACAACTTGATTTTTTTTATACAAATAATATATAATATAGTATATATATAGCATATCAATAGCTAATAACCCTGATAATATTATTTAAACAACCCATGTAAATGATCATTTTCTAAACCTTATAGATATTATCAAAATCCATCTTTTTTAAAAAAATAGTTTTTTAAATTGATATAAGTTTAGTTGCATACATATAATGATTTTTCACTAATCACCTTAACCCTTATATACACAGAAAAAATGGGTCATATTTATTTGCTATGACGTATTTTTTAAAGATTTTTTTTTAAAGATAAAATATAATAACCAATTGTTCATTTCATATCAAAAATATTTTTGTAACTTAAAATATTTTAAAAAGCTTTAAGGTGGGTTAGATTTTGTATTATCACCCCAAAAAGTATGTTATATTTTGACCTAGCGTGAATGGAAAGTAAATGATCATACGCATATTTAAGACTAAGGAAATAAAGGATTTAATTATTTTAAGGTAGATTTATGAATCATTTCTATTATATAATATTTTCCACTTTTTCCGTACAATATATATTCAAACGAGTTTAGTGACGTTCGGGCTTAGTATAATCCCGTTATCCCGGCTATATTCGCTCCCGCGAAGAAGATCATAATCGTTACACATGTGACCATAACTGCTTACGTGATAATCGTTAAGGCAACGTCTGTCATCGTTCCCGTATTGAAGGGTGTAAGGCGAGAGGGTAAATGGCATGGTCGAGGTATAGGTCTCTGAAAGATGTGAAAGTGGCGGGGGTGACATAGGAGACCTGACGACTTCGTGGTAAATGGTCAATCCATCTCTCACTGCTCGAAATGGACGAGTCGATGTCATTGATGACGTCATTGGGACAGGTCTAGAAGATGATATGAAGGGCAGAGGATCAACGGCATAAGGGTAGTTTGTTATTCGATATTCGCTTCCGCCACTGTTATCCTTATCGGGGTAGAGGCGGGAAGAGGTGAGGAAGCGAAGAGGCGAAATGGAGTGTTGATTAACGTTTATCGAGGTGGGGGCAAGGCTGGCATTCTTCGTGGTAGACTTATCGGATGATGCCTTTAATGTATTTTTTATTTAAGTTTGAAAATAAAGTGATATTATCAATTCATTTTTTAAGATTATAAATTTTTTAAAAAAATTATACCTCCTCAGAACCATCACAGCTGAGGGCTGAATCAGATGAAATATTTTCGATGAAATTATACTCCTTAATAGATAACTTAGGAGCTTTTCCGACATATTTGGAGTCAGCGATATTCGAAATTTCTTTTTCTCCCTTGAAAATGTTTTTGAAATCTTTGTTCAGAGAAGTGTTTAAACGTTCGTTATTGGTTTGATCTTTTTTAAAAAAAAGGTTTATAGTTGTATAATGAAAATTTGGGCTTATTTTTACTTCTTTCAGAGATATGACATATTTCTAGGGGTAAGGGTTATTTTCGATAATTTTAAAATATATTATTAGTAAAAAAATTTCCAGAGATTTATTTACCATAATTTCTTTCTAGTTTAGCTCTGCATGAACCTCAGACAGACATCTTCAATGATTTTTTTAATATCAAATCTTTATTCGGATCGAATGAGGTTTAGGCCTTGGCCAAATTTTAATTTAAGTTTTTCCTAATGGGTCAGATGTCAGATGAAAGGTTTTATTTTTTTAATGTAGAGTATTGACATTGAGATTAACAAAATTAAAGTTGTATTATTTATTGTCTACTTATCGATGATTCCCTGGCATTTATATAATATAATAATATACTCTTCGATTTGATCTTTTGATCTTTGTCCTCCTTGGATTCTCTTTGGCCATTTCTGTTATCAGACAGGGCAACTATATTTTTTCCTTTCCCGTCGTTTTCGTCAAGTTTAAATTCTTTTCCATCTTTTTCACCTTTGCCTTTATAGTCTCCATCTCGGTACAGTTCTCTGCTCTGTCTACGTTTATAACCTAGAGCATAAAAAAGACCGCCAACGCCTAAGCAGGTACAGAGGACGAGTCCAAAACCAGAAAGAACCCAAGGAAGGGATTTCTCGAGACGAGACAAAGGTATAGTGGACGTTTTAACGATGACATCATTGAGCCTAGCGGAACCAGGCCGGTCTAAATCAGTTCGAGTTTCACGTAGCGGGGCTCGTCTTAATACAAGGGCGGATACGCGTGAACCACTAAGTTTAGTGGACAAAGAGTCACGACCCCTAGCATTAACGGCCTCGCAATCGAATGCTATCGACAGATTAGTAAAGGATAAATCGATCAAAGCGGAAGAATTATCTGATGCAATAGGTATATTGGTTGTAAGGGAGCTTATAGCCCAGTAATCTTCTTCGTCGTAGATATTCTTATGTTATAAATTTATTTATTATAATGATATATAGCTTTTTTTAGCTAGGTTAAGAAGTCACTTTCTTTTTGAAATGGACACTATGTAACTAAAATGGGTTAAGTTGATGGATGGGGTGATTATTTGAGAGTTGAGTTTGATTTGGGGAGAATTGTAGGAATAAAATGTAAAGTATTATATAATTATATATACATAAAAATTGTATCTAAAGAAGATCAACTTTGATATCATGGATAGTGTTGTTGGGATTGAGTAATGCGCCCTTACTGTACCAATTGATGCTCTTGAGCAATGGTGCCGCGCGGATAACGCAAACTAACAGCACAACTATTTCATTATTTCCCATTTTAACGTATTTGATATCTAGTTTATGGATTATGGGAGGACCTATTTTATTTTTAATATTTATTTTTAATTATCAATGTTATGAGGTTAATGAATATTTTACTAAAAATTTGGTATATCCAATTACTTTCCCAAAAGACAATAATCACAATGATCAGCTTAAATATTAATATTTCGAATATTAAGTCTAATTTAAAATGAGTCAAATAACCATTTAATATATTTATCTTTCGACCTTTAATACATACAAAACGAATTAAAAAGATTATATCAAAATTGAATTGAAAAACATGTCTCAAGGCACCTTTGATCAAAACTTCGCTTTGGGTCGTTATAGTAGTAAGCGACGATGCCCCGGTCGATGACTTTTGAATGACTGAACAAGCATAATGGCCGGCGTCGCGATTGGTGGTGCGATCAAAGAGCAAGTAGGGTCCCGATGAGACCTCCTTACCAGTTTGATCATTGGAAGTCAAGTGGGTAGTAATCAAAGGTGGTCCACTATCCGCGTGGCGAAACATGTGATCTATCCTAGAGTTGATCCAAGAAAGACCGACCGTCAGTTTTCTCCACGAGTAAATTGGAACAGGATTTCCATCAGCTAAACAGCTGATATTAAGGCCTGTCTGAGACAGGTCAATGGGCAACGTTGAGGGAGGTCTTGTTACGAATTGGGGTGTATCTTTGATGATTATTTTTGAATCAATTGATAAGGTTTTAAATTTATTCAAACGTTTTTTTTTCTTTCAATATTATAGTACAAAGAATCTCATAAAAATATTTGACTGCTTCGATATTACTGAACAATCAACTTTTATAAATTAAAAAAAACATTATGGCTTAGTGGTAACTTACATTCTACATTTAAGGTAACGTGAGCCGAGCCTGTCCCAAGTCCGTTTCTAGCAGTACATTTCATGCTGTCCCCATGGTGGTGTCTAGTGACGGGAGCGTAGGAGAAGGTGTTATCCTCCTTGTTTTCTCGCCCTGTTACCAAGGGTACCCCATTAGAGAACCAATCGAGTTCGTGGGCCGATGGGTTGGAGCGGACTGAACACGTCAGCTTAACTTTGGCACCTTCCCTGACTAATAGAACTGATGGAGATATGGGTGTGTGTATTCCTGGACCGGTTATAGATACGAGGGGAGGGTAACGGACGTCTAGCAAGGTACGAGCTGTTTTTACGAGGTTGAGAGATCTTGGTACAGTTTTCGTGGGTCCAGGAGCGGACTCGCAAACGACGGAGGCCCCATTGAGCACTTCTGTGGCTCGTATCGATACGGTCCTAATAAATTTAAATTAACTTACAATTCCGATTTCAAATTTTTTAAAAAAGCGTTTAAGAAACAAAAAACTCATGCTAATTAATTTATCATATTATTTTTAAAAAAATCTTTTTTTTAATTGTAATAAAATTAAATCTATTTATAACCTTTAAAAAAATTATTTTATATCAAAATGGGTAGAGAGACTAAAAATATTTATAATATCATATAACTAATCTAAAAAATGATATTCTGGCAGAACTACCATTTGAGATATATACTATATAAATATAAAAATATTGATATTTATAAAAATATAAGACGTATAAAAGCTAATTTCTAAAAATGATAATATTCTGCAAAAAATACTTTTTTTTAAAAATCAACATGACACTTCGGAAAATTATCTGAATATATTTCTGTAAATGTGTTCCTACAGAATTTATCCACTGCATTCAGTAGGTGGGATATTCCTCGTATAAGGTAAAAAATATCATTTGAAATTTTGTTTATATAAGATTACAAAAAATAAAATATTAAATTTGGCTTTAAAATACACAAATGGGGCAGAGGAATAATGGGAGATTTAGAAGAATTACATTTAATATAAGTTTTAGGCTAGTACAGTACGAAATAGTAATAAGAACACAAGCAAGAAACCTCGATCCTGATTGCTTATAAAGAACTGTAAATTTTTTGGGTGGTATATTGGTATGGCGCTGCATGAGCGCAAAACGAGTAGGATGTATAATGTCTTTATAACAATATAATAGCGTTGAATATCAAAATATTCTGAACGAAGTACTAATCCCATAAATTTGTTTATTAGGACATGACATTTTCCAGAAAAAAATGGAGTACTTTGAAAATCTTTAAATCTATTAAAACCTGGTGATGAACATAATATTCAATTGTTAGATTGGCCACCATCTTCTCCAGATCTAAATCCTACTAAAAAGATTTAGGATGTAGTCAAACGGAAGCTCAGAAGGCAGCGATGTGGAACAAAGAATTATCCAGAATAATATCGAATTATATGCAAATCGATATAGCAGAATGTATGTCATCTTATTAATTCAATTCCACAAATAATAGCAAGACAAAAGAAGATGTAAAAATTTAAGCGAAAATAATGATATTTTAGTACATATATATATATATAGCAGAGACCTGCAGGCCCGGCCCGGCCTGTGTAATTTTTTAAATATACCCAGGCTGGGCCTGAATTTTTTTTTAAAAAAATATCCGGGCCCACCAAATATTTAAAATCAAAAATAAATATAAAATATTTTAAAAATTCGAGCCGGGTCTGAAATTTTATTTTAAAAAATTTTTTAAAAAAATCCGGGCCGGGCAGGGAAAATGATACCTCTGCAGGTCTCTGATATATAGTAAGGCGATAATTTATAAAATGATCCAGTGGGAGATAAAAAATCATTTTTTTATATATTAACCAGGAACATAGAGGAACATTCCGAGAACGATTATTATCCTAGAAATGTTCAAAAACCTTCCAGGAAGAACTATCTCTGACGGTTTCGAGAAAATGACAGCTAAATGTCAAGTTTGTATAATATAACTTGAATGTAATAATGTATAAATATAATACGATATCAAGATCGTGATTTTATTTTTAATACTTGTAAATCCATTTTAAGCGGGAATTGGTAATCGATGCATCCCAGGAACTCTGATTTAATTGGTCGGGCTTGAAGTTTGAAGGCGAAAAATAGATATTTAAAGAATTAGGTGGAAATCCGTCTTTGGCCATGCAAGTTACATTCAGGACACTATTTTGGTTAGCCTGAATCGATGGGCCATTTAAAATGATGGGATTACCCGGAGGAGCTTTATAACATTTTTTTTAAAACCAATTTCAATTTCTCTTCCCTTCGCCCGGCAGAAGAATACAAGAAATACATTTTCAAAATGTGAGTTATATCATATACAGTAATAAGAAATATTATAAAAAAATGGTATACTACCTAACCCTACGAAAATACGAATCAAATAATTCATTGTTCATATTAACCATTAGATTGAATGATAGAATAAATTAAAATTTTTGAAATATTTTTAAAAGTGAAATAATGAATTTTATCAAATTTTGAGCGAATATTTTTTTGAATAATTTTAAATAATACGAATTCGATCAAATAAATAAATTCTTTTTTCAATATTCGTAATTTTGTTAATGTATCCGTAAAATATAAGAAACCGTTAAGTAAAGATACCTGATTATCTCAAAGAAATATATAGATAGAACCTTTTCGATATTTTAAAAAGAGTATATTAATTGAGTCTAATAAAAAAGGTATAAAAATGTCAAAATTATATTATAAATTAATAACTTAAGACAGTCAGGTTAGCCTTGTAAGAAACTACAGCGTCATAATCTTCCGCTGGGCTTATCTGGCACTGGTATGTTCCAGAATCTTCCTCAGACACTGATATGATCGCCAGGTGAAATATGCCTACGCGTTCATATATTATTATGAATATTATATTTAGTTTTATACTTCATTTTTTTTAAAAAAAATTTTTCTTTTTTTCTCCTTTTCTTCCTTTAATAATATAACAGGTATCTACTAAGTTGGCTTAATTAAGTATCAAAAAAAGCAATGAGACCTTTCTTCATGTTTCCCCTGATAGACATTTTGGACGAATACTCGAGCATATCCGAATAAGTGCCGAGAGCGAAGCCATTTTTAACCCACTGCACTTGCGGAATATCTTTTTCAGTAGGGAACATATCCCCGCGGTTTCCCTATTTTAAAGTTTTAATTATATATTAATTTTATAAACTTTAGATAATATAAATAGATTTAATAAGAAATTAATAGTAGATTGGCTCTAGTTTTAAGTGCCCTGTTAGGAATATTTGAGAGGTAGACTGGACGAATAATGAGCTTTTTAAAATGAATTTTCAGTTTCGCCGGTTAGCGCGAATTCGGAAGTATACAATATTTTCGTATACCTCACTACGAATTTGCGCTAACTGTGATTACAAGGTAAGTACCTGTCTATATGTCGCCTATATATGTTACCTGGACTTTTACTTTTATCTAGCATAAACATTATTCCCATTCAAAAAATTCTCGCCAAGGATAAAATGAAAGATGATTCATTTAAAACATGTATGAAAACCTTTTCTAACCCCCTTATACTAATCAACCCCCTATCCTTCTTCCAACTCGAAATAAATGATCTTATTTTAATCCTGTCAGGATTGGTCTAACATGCTGTATGGTGTGGTAACGTTATTCATGTACTGCGTTGCGTGTTAGACAGTATTATGTAGAAAACGTTGACCTTGACACACATTAATCAAAAAAAATTGTAAAAAAATAAAACAACGAGGAAACTCTTAGACAAACGGAAGCCGACATTAGAAATAAAAATTTACAAAACCATTTTTATATATTTAAAAATATGTCGCATTCTAATTTTATTTTTAATCATTATTTACATCATAAATATACCTTTTGTTACGTAAAATTTTAACGGAATTTTACAATTTTTGAGCGAAACAGCCTATATAAGTTTTAAAAAAAATGAAATGGAAATTCGAATAAATTCTCTAACAAAGAAACGTTAAAAGGCTCCATGTGATAATAAATAAATAGTGATAATTATATAGTGCGCACAAATTAAGCATTTCCGTTTTCCCATACCTTTTTAATTTAAGACGTAACGCATCCTTTTGAACCCTTTTGTTTGAGGTTGCATTTTTTATTTTAAATATAATATTACTAGTTTAAAATATTAACTAAATCATATAAATAATTCGTTTTTATAAATTAGCCTTTTTTTAAAAATTTCTTTTGGAAATATTTAAAAGATCAAATGTGATGAATGAATGAAAAAGTATCGAAAAAATCAAACCAGTTTGGGTTTTTCAAAATAGTTTCTAACGCCAAACAATAATTTGACCAATTAGCATGATACCACTTGGAATGCATAATTTGCGCTTGAAACGCAATTTGTGCGCACTATAACGCGAGGTTTAATATACCATGAAAACTCATTATCTTAAATCCTGCATTAGCGATATAACACCATTCTCCTATGCCGGGAAATCGCTTGACGTCTAAAATGTTTTTAATTTTGAATAAATAAATACTTGTTCGGAATCCTCGAGTACGTTCATAGAATAATCCTCACCGCTATCCCCGTTCATGGCCGGCAAGACGGAAGCTACTGTCGAGGATAAACTGACCAGTTTTTTATCTTCGAAGGCTATGCGACATGGTAATAAAACGTCTCTTCCGCTAACCGCGGTAACGTCGTGTGGTTGTAGCACGAATTTGTAAAAAGTTCGCACCGGGCTAATGACTAGTAATATAAAAGAAAATCGCAACATTATATTTTAAAGAATATATTAAGAAAAAGTTCATTTGTCGAGGCATATGTGCAACTGATAATTAATTATGATGGTGCCTTGTGATTGGCACCTGAATTTTAAAATAAAGTCTCCCAAATTATCATTTCTTCTTTTAATAAAAATAAATAGGAATTCTTTTTATCGAGGAGACCTAAATTAATGTCCAAAATTTTTGAGTATCCAATTCAAAAATCGTACCCATTTGATTTCCAAACAAGCTCGGCGCTATATGATAACAATTTTTTATATTTTAAATTGTTCGCAGAACCGATCCAATTTGTTTTAAGGATCCAAGTCTAATAATAAAATATACAATTTTTTTCAGGAAAACAGAAAAATTATAAATAGAGCTGAAGAGAAATAATATTTTATAAATGTAGGGGGGGGGGGAGAATAAAAAATTCCCCTTAGGTCAGAGTGTAACGAATGGTTGCGCCTAAATAAATTATTGAAAAACTATACCGCGGGTCCGGTCTAAGTTCAGTTGAATAGGACAGGTCCGCACAAGAGTCTAATAGAATATAATATACAACACAATTTTTTAAAAAAATCACGCGACTAATAAAATAATGGGTGGCATATGATGTCACAATATCATTTTATAACCTACATATTTGAGACAAAAAGGACTTTTTCGCCAAAAGTAGTTTGGATTTGACAGGTAGAATTTAGGGGAATTTTGAAACGTATATTACACATATTATACAATCTAATACAAAACGATGAGAAAAAATAAGATAATTATTTTTCTCACCTTTTTAAAAAAAAAGTTGTAAAAAAGAATAAATTTTACAATTTTTTTAATTTAGGAGGCAAATATAAATAATAAATTATGACAAAGGAGTCAATGAAGCTATAAAAAAATTTTTCACCATATTACGATTTACCTTGATAACTGTGGGACCTTAGATGAGTTCATATAATTTTTTATAAAAGAAATTCTTGATTCTGGAGCAAAAGACATATATAAGACACAAGTGTTGTATTATTGGCTGAGCCGAGGAGGACTGACTCTAACTAAATGTAGACCTGATTACCCTTGTTAACACAAACAAGGGTATAAAACTTATATTAAATTTATATCTATCGTGAAATATTATTTCAGTCATTTCTCTTAGTATGAGCCAGGCATAATTCGACTCCTTCTACAAGGCAAACGCTCAAAAAAATTCGCCAAACCTTAAGAAGCATTGATTTCCCCCTCCCCAAATTTCTCGAGGTTGAGCTTTTTTCGGGGAAAAAAACTTGGAAGTCGATGGCTAATTCTTTCGGCTAAAATATTTTTTTAAGTTTAACGTTTTTTTAGGATTCGATTAAAAATAGGCTAATACAAATTAAATATAATAATATAATCAGTTGGCAGTCAAATAACGTTTTTTAGCATAAATTTAACTTTAATTTTTTGAGAAAATAAAGAAAATGAATGAAAGAAAAAAGATGTAAATCCAATAGTGGATAATTATCATTTACGGTTGATTTGGAATGTAATTTTTTTTTAGTTTAAATAGACCTCCTCAAAGAAACGTTATAAAACAATTTAGACATGCTGAAATCTGTTAGGTTAGTCACCAATTTTGACCTTCTCTCTTTCTGCTTCCATCCAGCCAACTCCACTTAAAAAAACTAGAAAAATTAGTTCATGCGAAATAAAGAATCAGAATTTTGGAACCGGAAAGAAGAACTCCAAAACATGAAACAAATGTGGGAAATTCCAGAATTTAAAAAATTCTAGGAAGAACCTCTTTTTAAAACTTCCAGAAACTCGAACCGTATCTACCAAAAGTAAACCACTTAATTTATATATATATAAGACCGCGACGCAAAGGCAACACCAAATCAAAAGCCAATAACTTTTTAACTATTTGAGCTAAATAATTTGGTCAGAAAGTATATTTTTTTATACATTATTTTTAACATGTTTTACTAGAATTTGGAATTGATTGGTATGCGACTCAGTGGCCTCCAATATATCTATACTAGAAACGACTATAGCTAATATATTAAAAATTTTTATAAACATGACCAATATACCTGAAGTGTTACGAGGCAGGAGCATTCATTCATTTAATAATTGGTATTTACGTCATAATACTTATCCATTATAAAGCGAATACCTTGCTAAATGAACACGGTATTCCGCATTTATCTCATAAAACAAAAATTTCCTCTTTTCGTCTAAATAAAATCTAGAGGACGAGGGTTATTCCTCAAACCTCCCCCCTCCCCCTTTTTTATGTCACTGACAATTCATCAAATAATATAACTTTCTATCCAGGTCCTATTGCGATTGAACATCCAAAATCTTCTGGATTTTATTATATAGGTATTAATAATTACTTCAATTGATTAATAATAGAATTCTTTCAGTCAAGTTTAAGAGAATATGGCCCTTTTCAAAGATTATCAACCATCTGACATACTCAATATTCATCACTTAAGTCAGAAAATCAAATGATAACTACAGTTGAGAATGTAACTTTGAGTTTTATAACCTCACAAATTTAAAATTTGGTTATTAGGCAGTTATGGCTAATTCTATATGTTCAGTATCTGTATCAGATATGTAAAAGAAGATAGTCAAAAATATTCACACAAGTTACCCGGTTCGACATTTTTTAATCGGCCCGCAAGCCGGGGGACTACTTCGAACTTTAATTCAACCAAACAGAACAAAAAAAATATATAAATTTTTAAATTGGCCATATGGGAATCTCTTTTTTCTTTAAAAATCAAGACCCAATTTTGCAAAAATGATATTTTTAAAATTTACAATTTTTAAAACTTTTTAAAGTAATATTTCCTCATCCTCGTCTTCTAAAAAATTTTCATTTCCGATTTTCGCATTAGGAAATAATAATACACTCACAAAAAACGGTTATATATATTATGTCTGCCAAAATATGATTTATTTTATTTTTAAACTGGACGTGGGAGGTTAAGTGTAGCAAGGAAAAAGATTATGTTTTTAGGTAATAAATGCATTTGTTGATAACAAAATTGTAATTTTTTATTAGACATTACTCTCAACTTTTTGTTTTTTAAAAAAATATTTTATTACTTTGACAGATAAGGTATGTTATTACCTCTAAAAGAAAATTAGCCCGATGTGAATACAAACAAAAAAATGACGCGTTTACATGTAAAATTCATTTTAAATTTTAAACAATTAAATATGTAATTTTAGTTTAAAATTCTTATTAAAAAATAGCATAATATATACATAAAAGAATATTAAAATAAAATGCAAACAATTAACCTCTCCTTTTACCCAAAAAAGTGAGACAAGTTTCACTAAATAGGAATTTTAACTCTTGTCTTGCAAAGCGATAATTTCCTTAATTTTCCTTACATAGAGCTTCACTAAGGCTGATAGAAAAAAATGTTTTAATTTGTATATTTTTTGTATAATTTAAGAAAAAATAAAAATAAAGAAATTTGAGTGATAATAAAATAAAGGAAGCAAAATGCATTGTAAATACGAAAGCCAAAAATAGTGAGAAAAGACGCGAAAAATACTTTTTGCAAATTAATTTTCTTGAAAATATATTTTCATATATTTTTATTTTTAAAATATAAAAAAACGTGAAAGTAGGAATACAAAGCTGAATTTTCTTTGTTTTTGTATGTTTTTTTCCCTATAAAAAATATTACAATATATAAATATGGATATGAAATAAAAATTTCAAATTTTAATAGGAAAAATAGTAAAATATTTATTTTTATTTTAGCACTTCATCAAAGGGATGGGAAGAAAGTAAATTGTTACAATTTTAGTTTCAAATATTTATTAAATAATCTTTTTATTCAAAAAAAAAATTTTCTCTTATTTTTATTGATTCCCTTATTTCCCTACAATATTCGAGTTTTTTTTTTTAGGTCTGACCTAAAAGTATTTTTTTTTAGTATTGTTAAACGGCTAACCCGATATTTTAGCCAGGGTTCGTACATCTATTAACGAATTTAATTTTTCTGGCTTAAATATTGGATTAGCCGTATTTAAAAATCGAGCCGTTTAACAACACTATTTTTTTTCGGAGGTTCAATAGGTTATTTTATTTTAAAAAAATTGACCCGAATCAGATCCAATTTTTTTATCATTCTTGAAAAAGTAGGATATTTTAATAAAGGTGGAAAGCGTTGAAGAAAAAAAGAAAATTCTTGTGTTATCTTCTAGTGTTAAAAGGTTCGATTAGCCGATTTTTAGAAATGGATAGTTAAATATTTTGGCTAGAAAAATATTATTCAAGCCTCAAGATTTCGGTAATAGTGTCCAAACCATTGTACCATCTGTGAGCAAAATCTTAAGGCTTGCGTCATATTTTTCTAGATAAAATATGAAGATCATTATATAGAATATAAAAATATTGGAAAAACATAAAAGTAATTTAAAATTTTGTCGAAATCCAACACCGGTCTAATAGATGCCGATATGTTTAAAGCCATTTTAATCCTCGCCCTTAGCATCATTTTAGGCTAGGGAGTTGTAGATCCCTCCCCCTCCTATGCTAATTTACGATAATTATCCCATTATTAAATCAAAATTAACAAAACTATATCGCCTCTTACGCCCATCCCTTCCAATTTCAGTGAGAATCTTACGCCCTGTCCCCACATGGAAGATATATGCACTGTATTTATAATTATTATCAGGTTCATGCAAACAGATGAAGGGGCGGGGGAGCCCCAAATTTTGATTCTCGAGCATTGATTTTCTATTAAATTGGGTGTTTTTAATTAAGGTCGCTGAATTTATTTTCCTCTCGGTCAAATCTTTTAGCACCTTCTTTGGGACTAGGAGAAAACTTATTTCGGGCCGGTTTCAAATATTAAATAAAAATTCGGGCCGGTATCTGGCTTGGCCGGATTAGAAACCAAAAAAATTGAGTTTGGACTACTTTACTTTGTCATTACCGATTAATAGACAGCTTTTTAAAATTGAATCTAGTGTTGT